CCTGGCTGTCGTTCGCGATGCTGGCAATACCGTGTCCTTTGCCATCATCCTCCGGCGCCGCGCTCCATTTGCGAACGAAAATCCCGTCCTTGCCGAACACCGATACCTGATTCAGCCATTCGTCGGAAACGTACAGATTTCCGTCCTGAGCCAGAATCATGCCGGAGGGCCAGATGAACTCGCCGTCTCGGTCGCCGTACTTGCCAAACTCGCCCGTGAAATCCTCGTCGCCGGCGTTCGTGCCCACGTCGATGATGCTCACCCGCGCCCCGTAGGCAACCTTGTTCCAGGGCACGTTGGCGATGCCTTCCAGGCCTCGGTTCAACACGTAAACCGTGTTGCCTTCAAACGCCATTGCCACCGGCTGGCTGAAGCCCATCCCGGATGCGGCCCCACGTCCCACCGAATGGCTGTAATCGTATACACGGCCTTTTGCAATTTGAGTTAGCATAGCGTCTTCCTGCTGTGTGTCGTGCGTTGCGACCAGCGCTCTTTATCGTCGAGCGACTGTCGCCATAGTGACGGGGCCAGCAGATACGTACCCACTGGCCCCGGCTGGGCTTACCAAATGACGTGTCCCGAAGACCGGAACCGATATTCGGTGTTTCCTAGATGAACGGGGTCTTTTCGTAGACGCCGCCCACGATCGGATTGGCGTCCAGACCCCATCCAGTCCTCCAGGATGGTTGAGTAGACGCTGCGGAAATCAACGCCCGGCACCAGGTCGCCCTGCTCCAGGTTTTCCGGCCTTGACGAAGGATATTCGCCGTACTCGCCGCCCTTGATCCCGTCGCCCATCGCGAACACCAGCCCCGCTGCGCCGTGGTCCGTTCCGCTGCCGTTGTCATGAACCCGGCGGCCAAACTCGGAGAACATCAGCAGGATGACGTCATCGCTGCAGTCATTCTCGCGCAGGTCGTCAAAGAAGCTGCCCACGGCGGCGGACACATCGCGCCACAGGCCGTCGTGCATCCCAACCTGGTTGGAGTGGCTGTCGAAGCTGCCGTGGTCGGTGTAGAACACCCGGGTACCCAGATTGGCCTGGTGCACCTGGGAAATGCCCTTCAGCTTGCGGGCAAGCGGCGTGTCGGGATACTCCACGGAACTGTTGTAAATCTCCGGGGCAACTTTCAGGATGTCGGCGGCCTTGAGGCCGTCCAGCCCGGTCTGGCCCAGGTAATCCATTACGAACCCGTTGCCAATCGTCGGAGAGTACAGGCGGGTGAAGCGGTCGATAATCTTCTCGCGCTGCATCTCCTCCTGAATACTGGTCAGCATCCCGAAATTTTCCAGGTCGTCGATGCAGGCCACCGGAACGCCTGGCAGCGCCAGGGCGCGCGGCAGGCTCGGCCCAAAGTTGACCGCCGTGATGACGTTGTCTTTGGTCGGATCCAGATCGCGGGTCGCCCGACCCAGCCAGCCTTCCGATCCCAGCTTGTCAGGCTCACAGGTGTGCCAGATGTCCATGCTGCGGAAATGGCTGCGCGGAGCGTTGGTATAACCAACACCGTGGATGATGGCCATGTTGCCAGCGTCCCAGAATCGCTTCAACGGCGCCACTTCCGGGTGCATTCCAATCCGGTCATTCAGCTTCGTGATACGGTTATCGGGCACGCCCACCACTGGCCGGTTGTCCCGGTACAGCGGGTCGGCATGGGGAATGATGGTGTTCATGTAGTCGTTGCCGCCGGTGAGCTGCAACACCACCAGAACCGGTTCTTTCTTCGTTGCGGTCATTTTGGTTGCTCCATTGAGTGTCAATCGTCCACTCTGCAAGTAATGGCGCCGCGGCGGCATCGAAACCGCCGCGGTGCAGTATTACTAGGCATACTGGTAGTCGCGCAGGGACACGATCAGTTGCAGCATCTCGGATATGCGCTGCTCGGCAGAGTCCACGTCGGCGTTGGTCGCCCAGGTCAGGTTCCCTCCCGTCGCGGCGTGGCTCACCAGCTCCTGGCGAGTATCATCGTCAACTTCCAGCGGGCCCATCAGGTCCAGGCAGTTGTCCACCATCGATTGCGGAGTCAGGTCACCCTGCGCCTGCATCCGGTCAATCATGCTGCGGATGCCGGGGCGGTTGACGTCGCTCATCATGTCGGCGGTGAAGTTAATGCGGCGCATCAGCGAACCACTGTTGATCCACTCCACACCGGTGTGCCAGCCTTCCACGCTGGGGGGATTCAGCAGGTCCTGGCCCATATAGGTGGGCTGGCGTGCCATCTCGCCCAATCCGGGAGCCGGGAATTCGTAGCCGCCCACCAACCGCAGAGTTCCCACCACCACTTCGGCGGGGCTCTTCAGGCGGGCGTAACGGGCATTCTTGAAGAAATCGCTGTTGAACAGTACCCGCAGCACGGCCGTTAGGTCGCTGCCGGATTCCACGAACGTATCGGCCAGTAGCTCCACCGCATCTTCATCCACCGGTGGAATGACCTGCCAGGCCGGAACCTGCGCCTCATCAGCCACAAAGAAGTTGTACAGGTGGCGTGCGATGAACGTGGCGGTAGCCGGGTGCTCGCAGACGATGTTGATAATGTCTTCGCCGTTGAAATTGCCGGTCTCGCCGAGGAACGTCTTTTCGCCGTCATCGTGGTCTTCCGGCAGATAGGCGAAGTTCCAGTCGTGGCGGCCAATCGGACCGCGCGGCAGCTTGGGCTCGAACGTCCAGCCGGTAAAGGCGCGGGACGCTTCCCGCACGTCAACTTCCGTGTAGGTGCCCACGCCCATGCTGAACAGCTCCAGCAGCTCGCGGCCCCAGTTCTCGTTCACGGCGTCGGCATGGTTCTCAAAATTGTCCAGCCAGTAAATCATGGCCGGGTTGCGGGACACTTCGAGCAACAGATCTTTGTAGTTGCCCATGCCCTTTTCGCGGAACAGCGTTACCATGCGAGTAATCTCGTCATAGTGGTCCACCTTGGACACGCCCGTGGCGAACACCTGGTGCCAGAAGAGCGCCATTTTCTCTTCCAGAGGCCGCTTGGTGTTGGTCATGAAATAGAGCCATTCCGCCGAACCCATTCCCTGAATGGTGCCCGGACGCCAGGCCCACGGATGGTACCGCACCAACTCGTACCGATCGATCGCCGGCTGGCTTGCGGGGTTGAGTAACTCTTCAACTGTAGCTTCGTACCCTATAGCGGCTCTCGCCTCCAGCTCTTCGCGGGTGGCTCCAAAGCCGGCACGACGCATCAGGTGAGCCATCAAGGCAATGTCCTGAGATGCCATCGCTGCGCCTCCTGTAGTGTGTTTTGCCATTAGGTGTCCACGCCCATGTGAACGTGTATTGCTAGTTCAGGTTGTCAGGTGTAACCCCAACGAACCAATTGGTGGTGCAACATTATCTGCTAAAATCAAAGCAACTGTCAACGGAGCGCTCCCCTCGCACATACCCGCTCTAATCTGTCATTGCGAAGAGCATGGCAACTCGGCAACCCCAACCCCAATCTGTCATTGCGAGGAGCATGGCGACGCGGCAATCTCGACGATGTTGAACACGTCGGCGAACCGCTGTTGCTACGGCAACGGGATTGCCACGCTATGCTCGAAATGACAAATTGGGTGCGCGTGAACGCGCTTCTCATACCGAGGCCTTTCGATTGTCCACCCAATCATAATCGCTGGTCACATTGAGCTTTGGCGAAGGGCCACCCGAACCAACTACCTCTATGTCTGTCGACCATCGAAATACCTCGTCCCTATGACGCCCCCTTGCCGAGTTTAATGCCCGGCGCATCGACTCCCCCGCCGGATGCCGCGTCCAGGCCGGTAGCGCCACTGTCGTTCATCGCCCTGCTCATGTCCGCGTTGGCTCTGGTTTGGTTGGCCCTGACCATCGCCGGCCCGTCGATTGATCACCACTACGCCGAACGCTTCCACGCCCACGAACACCTTTATCTCAACGGCGCGCCGGTCTCGCACCAGCACATCTACGACGCTGACGCACATCACTTACACCACACGGCAACCACCGTCCATCGCTTCCTGATACCGAACGCATCAGCCTCGGCCGAGTTACCCACCAGCAACAGATCGGACGTCCCCGGCGGCGTGGCGATACTGTCGTCAACAACCGCCAGCCTGCTGCTAACCGTGCTTTCCGCACCCTTCCTCACCACACCCGGGGAATCGCGCCCGCCGTTATCGACCAACCCTGACCACAACCCTCTGGCCCGGTTCGCCAACCCGCCGGAGACACCCACCAGCGTCAACACGCCGCCGCCCCAGCGACCTCCCATCCCATAGCATCGCTCTCACTCTTAACCCAACCGATAACCCAACCGACGGCAACCGCCTCCCGGCGACCGCCCCGGTTCACCAACCCCCACGGAGGATGCTTTCGATGCTGGGATTTCAACAGACTTTGCGCCGGCCCGGAATCTGGCGGTGCGTCACTCTCGCTCTCGCCGCTGCGGTGGTTGTGGTGGCGTGCGGCCCAACCACGCTACCGGGCGCCGACTCGCCGCCAATCGTCACCGACACCACAACAATCGACGTCAATATTGCCAATCGCGCCACCACTTCAACTCGCGAGGATTTACGAGCAACCCAGGGCGACACTGTCTCCTTGCGGTTCACCTCCGACGAGGCCGGCGAGGTGCATCTCCACGGTTACGACCTGACCACCCCGGTATCACCAGATCAACCCGGCAGCCTGACCTTTGAAGCGACCAACGCCGGCAGTTTTGGCCTCAACTTCCACGTCTACGCATCCGCATCTTTGGATGTAGACGCAGACAGCCACGACAAAGCTGCCGACAGCGGCGACGATCGCCACAACGACAGCCACGATAATGACAACCACGCCGGCGACAGCCACAGCGGCGACGCTCACACCGGCGACAACGATGACCGCAAGGTCATCGCCGAGGCCCACCTGGGCAATCTCGAAGTCTACCCCAGGTAGGCTACGCACTCATTAGGCAGGCTACGCACTCATTCCGGCCAACACAAAGGGCCGCCGGTGTATCCCGGCGGCCCCTTTGATCAGCATGCAGTTCCAGCTATCGTTGTTCGAGCGGAACGTACTCCCGATCCATTTCGCCAATGTAGTGCAGCCGGGGCCGCAGCAGGATGTTGTTCTCGTACTGCTCGATACACTGCGCGGACCAACCCGGCACCCGGCCCAACGCAAATATCGGAATGAACAGGTCAGACTCGATACCCAGCAGGTGGTAAATCGAACCGGCGTAAAAGTCCACGTTCACGTAGATGCCCCGTTCCCGGTAGGGAGCCATCACATCTTCGGACAGGTGTGTCAAAATCTGGAACCAGCGTGGGTCGCCCCGCTTCTCGCCCAGCGCCTGCGAGCGTTCCCGCAGGTGGCGCGCCCGGGGATCCTCAGCCTTGTAAACCCGATGGCCGAATCCCATGATGCGCTCGCGGTTGTCCAGCTTGTTGCGGGCGTACTCTTCGGCGTTTTCGGGGTTGCCGATTTCCATCGACATCTTCATCACTTCTTCGGCAGCCCCGCCGTGGGCCGGGCCCTTCAGCGCCCCCACCGCGCCCGACACCGCCGCATGAAGCGTCGAGTTCGTGGACGCGCTCACCCGCGCCGCGAAGGACGATGCGTTGACACCATGCTCAGCGTGCAGGATGAAGTCCACGTCCATGAGAGCGACCGTCTCTTCGTCGGGAATCTCATTGAACAGCATGTACAGAAAGTTGCCGGCGTGGTTCAGTTCCAGATTCGGCGCTACCGGCTCCAAACCCGTCCGCAGGCGATGGTGAGCCGTAACGATGGTGGGAGCCTTGGCCGTCAGGCGCAGCGCCTTGCGGACGTTGGCTGCCTTTGAATTGTCCTCCGACTCCTCGTCAAACGCGGCCAACCCAATCAGCCCGTCTGCAGCACGTCCATCGGATGGGCGTCTTTCACGGCATCAATAACCGTAATGATCTGGTCGGGAATCCGCCGGTTCGCCCGCAGGTATCCGTCCATCTCGTCCAGCTCGGCCCGATTCGGAAGCTCGCCGTACAGCACCAGGTAGACGATCTCTTCAAAGGTGGACTTTTCGGCCAGATCGTGGATATCGTACCCGCGATAAAGCAGTTTTCCGACTTCGCCGTCAATGAAACTGGACTCCGTAGTGTCCATGTACACGTTCATCAAACCGCGGTGTAGTTCCGGCTGTTCGGCCATTAGCGTCCTCCTTGGATTTGCTGCTCCGTCCCGATCAGCCGGGCGGCGCACATTGCTCGCAACGTCAATTTTAGAAATATCCATCCAGCGCCATATCGTTGTTGCGGCAGCGCTCCGCCAGCAACCTGAGCGTGGAGCCGGTCGCCCCCAAATCAGACAATTGTCGAGGCAAGCGCACTGAATTTCCGAATAACATTGTACGCCCGGTATCCACGTTGTGCCCATGCAGGATAACCGGCCAAGCGGTGAAATATGCTAGCATCGGGTTCCCCGGAGTGTCAACCAAACCAATCCTCTGATGCATACCTGCTTTGTCATTGCGAGCGCAGCGCGGCAATCTCGTCGGCGTAGCAACCGCCGTTCGCCGACGTGTGTTCACCCTCATCGAGATTGCCACGTCGCTGTCCCCCTCGCTATGACAGATTAATGCGGGTACGCGTAAGAACCAACCCCTATCCAAATTCTACCGATTGTCCGCCCAACAACCGTCCCCGCTAATCCTGCCCCCGCCACGTCTCCCGCCGTGCGTCCTGAGCCCGTCGAAGGACCACCCCGAGCCCGTCGAAAGACCACCCTGAGCCAGATCGAAAGACCAACCCGCCCCCGCCATCTCTCCCCCCGTTCATCCTGAGCCCGTCGAAGGACCACCTTGGCATCTTGTAAAAACCCGAACTCCCCCCGAAGGCACCCATGAAATACGGCGTAATCCTGCCCAACGTCGGCCCCTTGGCCCACATCGACACGCTGGTCGACCTCGCCCGCCGCGCCGAGGCGCTCGACTACGATGGCATCTTCCTCAGCGACCATATCGCAATTCCCACCGAACTCCATTCGGCGTATCCCTACCGAACCGATGGCCGCTTCCCGTTGGCTGCTGACGACAATATCCTCGAACCCGTTACCACCCTGGCCTATCTCGCCGCCGTAACCAGCAGCATCCAACTCGGGTTCAGCGTGCTCGTCCTGCCCTACCGCCATCCCGTCCTCAACGCCAAAATGCTGAGCACCCTCGATGTAATCTCCAACGGACGCCTCATCGTTGGCGCCGGCGTGGGCTGGATGCAGGAAGAATTCATCGGCCTCGACGCCAACTTCGACGCCCGTGGCCCGGTCACAGACGAGCACATTCGCCTGCTGCGCGCCTTCTGGACTGAAACCGCCCCATCCTTCTCTGGCCAACATTACACGGTCGCCGGCCTCGTGATGGCGCCTCGCCCGGCCAGTCAGCCCCATCCGCCAATCTGGACGGGTGGCACCTCGGCCCCGGCGTTGCGCCGGGCCGCCCGACTCGGCGACGGCTGGCACGGCGTCCGCCAAACCCCGGCCGACGTTGCCCGCGTCGCCCAACGCATCGCCGCCCTCCGCGCCGACGCCGGCCTGACCATGCCGGGCTTCGACCTGTCCCTGCGCGCCGGCCTGGACATCACCGATTCACCCGTCACTGGCGCTGGCCGCACGCCCCTGCGCGGTTCCCCGGAACAAATCGCCGCCGACATCCGCGACTACGCCGATGCGGGACTCACCTGGCTGGTGTTGGAACCCCGGGCTGCCACCACCGATCAACTGGCTTTGCAACTGGAGCGATTCAAAAAACTGTAACGGCCACCCAACCGCATCCCTCACTGCGCCGTCCAGCCTCCGTCCACCACAACCTCGCTGCCGGTAACGAACGACGACTCATCGGAAGCGAGGTACAACACGGCGTAGGCAACCTCTTCCGGCTCCCCGTACCGGCCCATCGGAACCCGGGCCAGCATCATCTCGTGCCGCTCCGCGTCAGCCCGACTCGCCCGCGTCATCTCGGTAACCACCGGCCCCGGATGCACCGAATTCACGCGAATCCCGTCGCCAGCGTATTGGATTGCCGCTGACTTGGTGAACAGACGCACCGCGCCTTTGGAACTCTGGTAGGCCGACCCGTTATACGGCACTGCCACGATTCCTAGCTGCGACGAGATGTTGATAATCGACCCGCCGCCAACGTCCAGCATCGCCGGTATGGCCGCCCGCGTGCCCAGGAACACCCCCTTGGCGTTCACATCCATCGTGCGGTCCCATGCCTCTTCCGGCTCATCCTCGATGCGATGCGAACTGCTGCCGATCCCTGCGTTGTTCACCAAAATATCCAGCCGTCCAAACGCCGACACCGCCGCCGACACCGCCGCCGACCAATCCTCTTCCGACGTAACATCCAGATGCCGGTAAACGCACCGCCCGCCGGCCGCTACGATACTGGCCGCCACCACCTCGCCGGCATCGTCCAGCAAGTCGCCAATCAGAACCGAGGCCCCTTCCGCCGCAAACAGCCGGGCCTCGCACTCTCCCATCCCACGCGCGCCGCCGCTGATGATAGCAACCTTCCCATCCAGCCTCGCCATCAGAACCTCCCTCAAATCAACCTGCCGCTCGTTCAACATCCCGTGTTGGAGCTGAGTGTACGGTAGTCAAAAATACGGTAGCCAAAAAAACGGTCGACAGCAAGATTGCAACCCAAATGGCGCAGTCAGGAAATCTCGACGAACCCAGAAACACCGTCACGCCCGCCACGCTACCTACGGAGAACGTCGTGCAACCAGTCGTCCCGATCAGCGCAGCGAAGTGGCAATCCCGTAGGACACCGCCATACCGTACCGTCAAGCACGGCAACCTCTA